ATGTTTGACATTATGCCGACTCAGTTTACTTCCGTCTGTTTCCGCAAAAACAGTTCGGCAGAAAAAATAAAAACAAACGAAAGCAAAAAAAAAACTAAATCCGTTGAACAAGTTGTGGCAAGAGAAACAAAACCAACAAAAATTCTAAAAATAACAACACAAAAAAGTATTAATATAATAAACAGGAGAGAGAGAGAGGAAAAAATGCTTGATAAATGTTTTTAGTTTATGTGTAAATTAGTTAAAGTTAACGGGTTCATGTATTAACAAACAAAGTGAGAGAACGAAAGAGAAAGTTGTTGAGTTGTGTTGGTGGTCAGTGTTGGGTTGAAACCAAATGTCTGAATTATTTATAAACTGTTGTCGATATCGTGTTGTACTACTAAACAAAAAAATTTTATATATAGGACAAGTGTAACACTAATTGCTTTAACTTTGACCCTTGAATTCTACCAACCAACCTCTCTCTCTCTTGCCGTTTTCCCTCTTGGAAACCATTTGCCAATATTAAATTGTCAACAATGATTCGAACACTTGTTGCTGCCGACTGCTGTTTATTAATTTAAGGCAAATATTTTTGTTTGGAATGTAATATCTTTGTTGGCCTTGTATTTTTATGGATGACACAAATAGCTTCACGTTTCCTCTTCTCTCACCACTCTACCGCTAAGTCCTTATTTATTTGTTTGTGTCATTAAAACGCCTCCCACTTGGTAATGATAACAAAATTTTATAAACACATTTATGGTTATGTGCGGTTCCTTGTTGTTTACAACAAAAACAACAACAAACCGCATAGCTAAAATTCTAACAGAGCTTCGACATGGGGAATCAAATGAAGGTCATTTCCAAGTTTAATATTAAAAATGAAAAAAATAGTATGCCAATATAAGTTTCCTGCTAAGGATATTAAATTTTTGTGTCTGTCTCTTGCTCTGTTTTGTGACCAATATATTTATTTTTGCTTGTTCTTCCCTTCATTGTTCAATGTTGTTGTTGCTATTGCTTTCATTATTGATTTCTTATTGACAGTTTGATTCTAATGGCCAAATACCACCTGGTTTCGTTCAGTATGATACCGGCAACAGTTCAGTTCAGTGGCAGCAACAGCATGTCAAATGTCGTCGCTGTGAAACCCTGCCGCCACAATCTTTGGTCTTAACACATGACATACTAAATCAAAAATTGCCATCACAATGACGTTGAAATATCAGAAAGAGAGAGAGAGAGGGAGGGAGGAAAGATATATTGTTATGACGTTGATGATGGGCCATTAGAACCGAAGGTAGCAGTCATTTCGATGAGAAAATGGTGTCAATGGTGTTGGCGTTTTATTAGAGGATTATTTTGTTCCCAATTGTTGTTGTTGCTGGTGTTGGCCTTTACTTTGTTGTCATTTGAGAGCCATCCAAATAGTGAAAATAATGATGGGATTATTATTTTGAATATTTTGTTACAAAATAATGAAAAATAAATTGTAAAATAAGAAAGTTTGGGAGTATTTGAGAGAAAAACATGATAAATCAAATCGATGTAAGAAAAACTCAAGTAGATCTACAAATGTTTTTCTATAGAAGACCTATAGGTATTTTTTAAAGTAGACCAATATATTTTCTTAGAGAAGTCCATGAATCCTATTCATAGAAGACCAAGTACATCTTCCTATAGAATAACAAGTAGGTCTTCCCATAGAAGTTCAATATATGGTCCATTACAAGATTAAGAGGTCTTCCTATGAGTTGAATAGGTCTTTCATAATAATTAGAATTCCTCCCATAGAAAACCACGAAGTATTTTCATAGAGGCCCAAGATATCTTGGAAGACCAATATATCTTTTTCTAGATGACCAATACGTCTTGTTAAAGGAGTTCAAGTAAATTCCCCCATAACATATAAAATCATGAAAGCTTCCCATAAAAGTACATGTCTTGAAATGGACTACTAATTAAAAAAAAACTCTCTTATACTATCGAAGAACTCTAATTGTAAAAAACAAGTTGATGTGCCAAATAGAAGTCTAAGTAGTTATTCCTGTAGAGGACCAAGAGGTGTCATTGTCGATGGTGAAATATGGCTTCATAAGCCATTAAAAAAGTGAAAATATTGATAGGATTATTGTTTGGAATATTTTGTTGCGCTATGGGCGTGAAATAATGAAAAATATAAATTGAAAAATGTGAGAATAATTGAAATCGACTGTAGATGAAGAAACTCTCTGCCTCACTCACAACATCTTGATCTACCATTGCAGAATAGTTCGCCACCATTTGAAATGATTTCTTGAATCCTTTCCGAGATTTTTTTTAATTATTATTACTTGAAATGTAAACTTCCTTTAATTTATTGTATCACATTTTTCATAGAAGCTGATTCGGATTTGAAACTAAATTCAATTTATTTAATTACTTATCACTTTTTTGCCTGACACCTGTGTTAAGGATTTTTCTGTCAATTCATGGGCTTCATAAGACCTTTCCTGTGAATGCAGACATACGTATGTTTTCAGTTAACCCTTTTACCATTTAACAGAAAGAAAAAAAACAAACAAATACTGTAAAGGACAAAGTTGTTTTTTTTTGCTGCATAACCCTTTACATGAAATGTAATCAATTTGTTTTACGTGACTTTCACATATAAGGAAGTTAAAACATGGCTTTTTCAGAATATGTTTTCGAAAAGGGTAAATAAATAAAAACAACAATATCATGTATGTGGAATATTGAAAGTCAGTCATTATTTCAGGAAATCGATGACTTTCAATTCATTGAATTTTTTGAGTTGAGTAAATATAGCTGAGATGCTTTAATATCGTAATTTCAAATATAGAACCTTCCTATGAAATGCTTAAAGGGTATTTACTTTCGTTCTCTGATTCTTAGGCAACATCAATTTTATTAAACTAAATTACAATGAATCTTTCTGAACATTCTTAATACATAGTTCATTCTACAATTATTTAAAATTCAAATTGTATAGTATTGAATTAGTGTTTCACTGCATGATAACTATTGAAAGTGCTTCAATTGATTCATTGCTCTCAAGATCTTTTATTTTAATTGGCATTTAAATAGTTTCGTTTTAATTGTCATGTAATAGAGGGCTCCGGGGCGTATAATTGTTAATATCTTAGTTACATTAAGGCGTATGCGCGTTAAAGGTAAACATCTTAAATATATTAATCATACGTACCGCTGTCCGTTCTTCATATTATTATTTTAAAACCTACCAATAAAAAATCATAAAAATATCGTAAATCTAAAAAACACTGGACCTGAGGACTGCCAATATGTTTCTATAGAACAATAAACCGGGGGTCTGATATTTTTTTCTATACAAAAATAGGTCTGGGAGTGTGCGAATTGGTTTCTGTACAAAGAAAAAAACAAGATACATGAAGTATCGGCAAATTTTTTCCCCTATACTAAAAAATGGACCTGGGAACCTTCAATTTTTTTCCAAAAAATAAATAAATAAAGCTGATGTATGTGAATTTTTAATATCAACTACATTTGAGTGATAAACAATTTCTTAAATCAAATAAATAAAAACCCCAAAATTTATGTTTTCATTATTCAAATGATGATATGGATAACCCACTTAGTATTTCCTTAAAGTAAACGAAAATTCTAATTATTTTATTGCATTATCCACCCACTTGCTAGAAATTATTTGCATTTCAGCTCTTCAGCTACGCTTTGATTAAATAAGATTTGCTGACTGCGTATCAAAAAAAATAAAAAAACCAACAACAAACCAGAACAAAACTGAAATCTACAGTCACAAAAGTGCTCTTCCTGCTGTAGTTTTTTTAATCAAAGGTAAAACCTCATAAAAAAGCAACAACAATGATGATGACGCTGAGTTTTGGTTGATTGTGCAACTGACGCTTTTGGCAGTCGCTGCTGCCGCTGAGGATGATGGTGGTGGCTGGTTGGTTGATAGCGCCAAAATAAAGCAATAGCAATTCAATTTGTGCGGAAAAAATCGAAAACATATCACCGGTATAAACGTAGTGAATGTGGCATGGGAACTTTGTTTTGTGCAATGGATTTTTTTGTTTATTTACTTTTTTATCTTCAGTAAAATGGAATTGAATCGGTTTCGGGGGAGGTGGCAGAATTTGTATTTTTGTATATAATTTGATTAAAATGATTTACACATTTCATTTTTGTTTATGGAAAGAAGCGTATTGTTAGATTGGTAGTTCGTATGCATATTCGTCCTCTCCATCTCTCTTTTTTATTTGAGATATAACTAAAACTTACCAGCAAAAAAGATAAATTTCCAATGTGAGAATTTTTGAAATCCCAATTCTATTCTCAGAGATCGCTTTAATTTCTTCCCATTTGATTTCCAGGAAACAATCAAAAAATGTCTTCCATTACCCATCATTAAAATTCTATTCCCAAAGATCATCTTAGTTATTGTTGCTTCTTCTTCTTCTGGGAATTCCATTTTAATGATGATGACTATAACCTAGAGGACATATATACCTTCATGCATAAATTTATGCAAATTTTGTTACTTCGTAGAATAACCTCATCAATTTGTAATTTGGCCCCAAAAGAGGGCACTCTCAAACATCAGCACATGCCTTGGAGCCGATCCAAAGGGACATCAATCATTTCCTGCTCAAATTACAGCATCATTCGTTTGTGTTTGTCATTTGCAACTGATATTGATTGTCGATTGTCAATGGCAGCAGCAGAAGAAGAGAGAAGAAGATGAAATGTTCGAATTTCAAATCAAATTATTTCCGTTTAGGTAGTCATGTTTGTGGGTGGCAGTCCTTTCTATATGTTTGTGTATCCTTTTTTTGCTCCGCAACAAAAAACATTACTCACTATCATTTCTATGTTTGTTTCTAGATTTTCGTTTGGAAAAAGCCAGCTGCTGCTGTTTGACTGTCACATCTATTTGGAACGTGACTTGGCAAAATATCAAAACCGTCCGTTTTCAGTTGTTTTCCTGGAGAAAGTTTCAGTCAGAAAAGAAGCACGAAATATTCGTTTAAAGTTATAAAAGTTATTGCAGCTTGTAACGCAATATTTGCCTAAATTAACTTACAAATAAATTCGCAGCAAGCCCCGAATAACCAACCCAAACCGAACAACCCATAAAATGGAAGCCACAAATGGTGCTGGTAATGCAGCTTCAGTGGCTGCTGCTGCCGCTGCCAAACGTGTCCAAATCGAAAAGGCCCAAAACTTTATGCGCCAGTATCGTGATCCAGAATCACGCGAATTGAAAAAGCTTTCGGCAAATCAATTCATGGATGTATGGTCCCATTATGATAATGATGGTAAGTAGTTATAGTGATTGGCACCGCAGCATATTTTGCGACCACAATGTAGAACAAGAAAATGAAGCCTACTTTAAGGAGGCGTTTAAAGCATACTAATGGTCCATAATGGTTTCTCTTTTCTTTTTCATTCCTTCTCCTCTAGGCAATGGCTATATTGAGGGCACAGAATTGGATGGTTTTTTGCGTGAATTTGTTTCAAGTGCCAATGCCACAGATATTAGTCCGGAGGTGAGTAGTAGTAGGAAAAAGAAAACAATTGCCTGGCTTACTATTATTTGTTATATTCCCCGTTTTTTGTTTGTCTCAATTTGATTACATTTTTACATTTTATTTCCCTCCTTTTGTTCCTCCCCGATTTGAATTTGTTAAATTCTAATGGAATTCTCTTGTTAAATGTCGAGTGGAGATTCTGCTCGGTTTTTTCCATGTCCCTGCTCTGGTTGAATGATGTAATTATTAGGAATTGTATTTTGAAATTGCTTTTTATAATTGTGTTTCGACTACCAAAAGTATTTCGAATCACTCACCATTTGCAAACGAAGTGATTTCATTGGAAGAGATTAGACACGTACGTAATGGGGTCAAGTTTGCCAGTACGAATATCTAAATCTGAGGGTACATCAAAACACTTGACAGTTGGCCTTTTATTTGTTGAGAATGAGATGAAAGGTGGGGAGGGGAAGGGCATTTTGTGGAATTGAGTGTTAAAAGTGCCATCAAATTGTGTGTTTGGAAAAAACACTTTGGAATGTTAATTTTGTTTGCCTTGTTGAAATTGATCATATAAGGTTTGTTAAGTGGATATTAAGTATACGCCTTGAAATGTAAATTGTACACTTGAAGAGGGAGTGCATGTGAAGGGTCTTAATTTGATGAGGAAATGTATTAAGGTTGTCTTTAGGGGGACAATTGGTATTGGTATTGATATACAATTTAAAGGGGAACCGAATGATATTAAAAATATAAATTTCGTAGAGAAAAGACCAAGATGTAAGAACATTTCATAAACGTTTGGACCCATTTTTTAATTTAAAGTTCTGAAATATTTTTTTAAAATTTTCTCATTGGCAAACATAATATCACGCGTTATCCCACGGGTGAAATTCGAATATTTTATAGCAGATTAGAAAACAAAAATAGATTTTAATGAATATATGTTATGACACCTCTAAATAATTCGGAAATATAATATTTATTTACCATTTTTTGGTGAAGACCTCATAAAAAATTGCAATTCATTTCTGCACAGATTTAAAACAGGTCTAAATTTTGAACAGGAAGGGTCTTAACATTAAGTATCGTACTGAGAAATGGGTTCAGAAAAATAATAATCCCCCACCATGAAAATACCTAAAATCGGACGAAAACTTTATATGCATGGTATGTTGTAACTTATATGGAAGAGGAATAGGTCCTTAAGATGAAAACTTTGAATTGCGGATTGAGTAACAAATATAGCATGGAGTAGGTAGAAATAGAGAGATTCATTACCGTTGTGAGACATCGTCCCTATAACAAAAACATGTTAAGTCCGACAGGCAATAATCTTTATAACTGAAACAGGCACACGTGCGGGTGTTTGCCTGATTCGTTCCTACATCAATAACATGTTATGTTCTGCTGGCCAAAGCCTTTATATAGCACGATAATCGAACTCAAAATGACTAAAATCGGGCAAGACTCATTTATGTGGTTTGAAAATTGCATGCCACCAATTACAGCCGATTCTTTTGTTAAATTCACCTAGAACCATAAAAAAAACATCTAAAATTGAGCGGATCCTTTATATGGGGGCTAGGTCAAAGGATGGACCTATATTCATAATTTTCTCCAAATATATTGATCAACTTCTCAATACTCGGAATTACAGATCCTTCGTTTCGAAAATGCGGCAAAAATCTAATGAAAATGTGGTGTGACCCTTTGTGTTGGGAAGTTATTAAAACATATTCATTGATAAAAATGTTGACATAGAATTTTATACTGAATTGTTATGGATGCTCGAGCGAATATTTTGAGGTTTTGCAAACAGAACAACAAATTTGTAAAGGGTATAAAAAGTCCGCTCTAATAGTCCTTTATAAACCTATTCGAACTAACAGCCATTAGATCTGTTTTAAATATAACCCAAGTTCTTTTAGTTCTTCAAAAAAGATTTTTAAAATTTCCACTCCTATATTTCTGATACCCAATACAAGCATATTCTCCATATATTTTTTCATATTTCCTTCCTCTTCAAGTGCTATGAAATTATTTTAAATCCTTCCGACGGTGATTTAAGCCTGTAAAAACATTTCAACAGATATATTGTTACCAGCAATCCTTTTATTGTTACAGTATGGTCCATGGTTTTTTGGGATCACCATTTTATTGAATTTGCTGTTGTTGTTTCTTTTTTTTTGCATCTCTTTGGTGCGAAAAAATATGAGGGCGTTTAAGTAACACTGAGGACAATACTGTCAGTTGATGTGTCATCACTACAAGTTGTGCCTTTCGTAAAAAAAAGATGTCCTTTTTTCAATTGCTGTTTACTTGCCCATGTTCAGGGCGTGGGAGAAATTAAAGCTTGAAATAGTTGAAGATATGGTGGTAGAAGGATGATGATGGTGGTTGGTGGCAATGCTGGTGCAACCGACCACTTTATGATGTGTCGGATGGTTTTTTTTCTTATCGTAACTCTTAACATAGTTACAATGGAAGGATATGTGTATAAGGATAAGGGGAGCAAACGAAATGATATAAGGCATGAGTTGCCAGTATTTTTTTACAGAACTACAAACGATGACAATTCGCATGTATGCTGGTTGGTACATGACATAGCGACTTAAACTTAAAAAATACATTTATTTATAGGGATTTCTTTTAAACAAATGTCCTCAAAATTTAAGAGTGAAAAATCCAATAATTTTATTATTTATCCCCTTTTGTTTTCCATCTAAAATTACTATTGTCATTGCCTATCACTATATCCCTATATATTAATCTTGTCACTGTAGTTGTCATTCGATTTTGTTGCTGCTAATAGCATCAAGACTTAAGGCACAATCCCTAGATGACAAATATGATTTATTGAGAAAATTCTGCAAAATAAGCAGAACAACAGACCATGGGCCATGGCATACAACATTGCCGCATCGATATTAACTGTCATTGATATTGGCTTGTAATTTAATTATTCTATTTTTGAAATTCTTATTTATCGATAATAATACCAAGCAATAGATTTTTCTATATTGAGACGACATCACCATTTAGCATTTTGCTGTGTTTTTAATTTTCTTCTCATTCATTCTCTATCTCTTTCCATTTTCAGGCTGTTACCGACACAATGCTGGGTGAATTGAAATCATGTTTTATGGAGGCCTACGACGACAATCAAGATGGTAAAATTGATATCAGAGAGGTAAGTAAGCAAATAATAAGAACAAGAATAATAAGTGAATACCATTAACATTCATCATCATCGCCCATGCCCATGCCCCCGCCCTTTTTATGTCCTTTTAGTAAAATCACTGAAGGGATCGAAACAATAAACGCTTGATTTCAAATCAAATATTTGCCATTTACAAACCAATAAACTTGTGCTGATGGCTGCTGTCAGCAACCAGATGAACGGAAGCCCATTAGTAATGGTCCGTGTAGGGTTTGCCTTTAATTTTTTTTAAATTGAATGCAAATCAATTTCTTAGGGGACTCAGTTTCCTTTTATTCTGTTTCTGCTTGGAGGGTTCATGCTATCTCTCTCCTTTTCTTTTAAGGGCTTTATAAACCTTTTTAATAATGCCTTAAATAATGTCTAGTACTTCATTAGTTTCCGAGTGATAAATTGATTGGCATGTCCTCAGGATAGACAAATTATTGAATTGCCCTGAAACGAAGGGTGACAATGTTTTGCTTAATAACAATTTTTTAATGTAGTCCAAATGAAAATCATTCGGAAAATTGTTTTAAGTAATTCTGAAATGAGTTTTTAATATTTTGGAATTATTATAATTTTGTACCTCCTCTGTGAGGATTTATTTGACATATATGTAATGAAATCAATTTGATAAATACGGTACAATGTAAACGTACTTTAAATTTTAAGAACATCTTTTTTTAAATAATTTATTACATTTTCCCTTTAAATTATTTTCAGCTTGCCCAATTGCTGCCCATGGAGGAAAATTTCCTATTGTTATTCCGTTTTGATAATCCCCTAGAATCCAGTGTTGAATTTATGAAGGTAAGCCACAAATAATAACACAAAATTATCATTGATGTGTGATAATTAATGCAATTAATATAAATTTATCAATAAGTACTAATAATAACAAATATTAATAGCATACTTTGAGGCATTAAATTTTATTGCATACAAATTAAAGCATACTTCTAGTAGTTACAATTACTAATTAATGTTCATATATTAATTTTATGTTTCTTCATTTTATGTTTTCAAAAATAGATTTGGCGTGAATATGATACCGACAATTCGGGATACATTGAGGCAGATGAACTTAAAAATTTCTTACGAGATTTACTCAAAGAGGCCAAGAAAATCAATGATGTATCTGAGGATAAATTAATTGAATATACAGATACAATGGTAAGTAAACTCACACACATACACCATATACACTCAAATGTACATAGATAAGTGTTATCAGAAGAGAATATGATATCCTGCTGTTTGTCCTTGTGTATATTATGGTTTATAAGAGTAATAACCATAATTCTCTAGTTTCAATTATATACAACCCTGCCGTTCACTTACTCTGCATGGCAATAAAGCATTTTGTAATGATTTGTGATATCATAAATTATTTATGATTGTAGACGGGGTGTCAATTTCGATGTGAGGCAACTATGTTATATGAGTGTACTATGTTTTCTGCTGATATGGGGATATTTTTTTCGTTTCCCTGCAATCTGCCAACATGCCCAAACGTCTGCTTTTATAGATAATGCGATAAATCGTAGCCGTTTTTAATTTACTTTCGTTTTCCGGTTTTGTTTTTCACATCGAATATCTGTCGACTTGCTAATCCAATTTGCATACATACGCATATACTCACACATACACAGACTGAAATTTATAAGCCATTGTCAGCAAGTATGACAACAATGTGACTCATCGACAGCAGTTAGATGAATTGTTAACATAATACTTGTACTTGATACAAAATGCAAATCATCTATGCAGAGTAGGCTGGCAGCAGGTGATATTGCCCTGGGCGGGACCCATGGTCGTACATTGGCATTGCAACCTGACAATGGTTGTAATTAACATACATATGTATATTGTTCTACATGTATTTTTGTTGTTGTCAAATTTTATGCGTGTCATCATCATCGTCGTTGTTGTCGTCATTCCATCATCGTGTCTGTTTGACGGTGATATTAAAATGTGTAGTATACTTTTAGGCTTATGTCGTTGGTAAACAATGTGGACATTTTAAGTGGAATTAATTTGTTGTTGTTGCGATTTAATACTTATTTTGTAATACTTTCAACATAAAATGTAAATATTTGCACAATATTTGAAGGATTGTTGTTGTATGGCCTCGATTGTTTTTGTTATAATCAGTTGAACAACACTATGTTGTACTAGATGGTTGCTTATATTTGGCGGAATTAAATGATTTGGAATAATGAAGTCTATCAAATATTATGAGCCGCGAATTATAGGAAACTGGAAAATAAAAATTTTCCTGCTGGATTTTATAAATTGATTGTGGGTCTTTAATAGGATTTTTGAAATAGAGGCTTTATTTTTGCTTTTGAAAACATTTGAAAATGTTTTCAGTTTCTTGGGATATGACTTTCAAGTTTATTTTGAAACAATATTTTTATGAGGATACTTTTGAGACCATCTTATTTCTTCTTAGATGTCAAAAAATATTTTAATGTCTAATATTTGAATTCATCCTATAAAAACGTCGTCCTATGACACTTTAACTGCATTTTGATATTAAGTATTTTCGTAGTAGTGACGCAGTGGGCGGATGGCATTCCTAATTTTTATAGAAATCTATTTTCAATTTTTACAAAACAATACAAGAGTTTTCAAAAAGTTCTTGACTGGACAGGAACTATATACTACCACGAAAATTAACACAATTTATTTATAAAGCCTTATTGTTTAAAAGCTACACAACAAAAGAACGAAAAATCAATTATCTCTTTTGTCTATGACCTCCTGCGGACTTTGCTAAAACGGCATGGCCGCCAGAAAACAGACAATCTCTCAGCCAATTAATTTCTGCACTAAAACACAATACCAAGAGCAGGGTGGGCTTTAACAAAATGTGCGTGTTCTGCAGTTGACGACTGGTTCTTCTATATAAAACAATTGTGTTTTTAGTTGTTAAACAAAAAAATATACTGCAACAAAAATAGCTGCCGGGGAATCTGTTTCTTTTGCCTGCAAGACAATTAAAAATGTACGTAAGATACTTTTTGTTAGTTTTGGGCAAACATTCTTGGAATTTAATAAATTTGCTACTAAATAACATGGAGTGAAAGTTATTTCCAAGAAAATAATTTCAAAGAAAGAATAAGGAAAATAAAACACTTTGTTTTTAAATATGCAACAGTTTGTTTTAATTAACAAGCCTGAAAGTATACAAATAAAACAAATATAAAATAAAAGAAACAACGGCTAACAAAATATCCTGCAAACACCTTAAAATATGCAACAATTTAAATGGACAAACATAAGTTTTTATTTGTAATAATTTAAAAAAAGTTTTTTATTCACTTTTCTTACCATTTTTGCCGGAAAAATATGCTAATGAATTTTTGTGTTTCTTTTGTTGTGCCATCTTCTTCTCCATTTAATTCCATAATAAATTCCATATTTTTATTGTTTTTTCTTTTATTTTCTTTACGAAGTGGTAGAGGAGAATTTGCATATGTCATCGTTAATTTTAAGAAATGTTTCCAATGAAAAATCCTGTCATCACAATGTTCTCTTTTTTTTTTGGTTTTTCTTTGTTTTAGCTCCAAGTTTTTGATGCCAATAAAGATGGACGCTTGCAATTATCCGAAATGGCCAAGTAAGTATTATATTATTTATTCAAATAAGTTTGAATTTATAAGGACAATGTAATCTGCATAAGCTGGAGTTAATACAATGTTCAAGGATAACAATAGTACTCATCAAGTAAAGGATAAGGAAAATCAGATGTAAATTAAATTACCAGTTCTGAGTCTTAATAAAATGTCTTAGGAGGACTTATTTTAAATGTATACTATAATATACTTTTATGCTCCATGTAGTAAAATAATTCAAATTTTTATTAAAAAAACAGATGAATCCAAGTTGTTGAAAAGTTCTCATATAAAAAGTAGAACAAAAATGGATGATATACTCATAGGTTCATAAAAATGTTCAAAAATATTAAAAAAAAAAATCCTTTGGGATGTGTGGTATACTTTTAGGCTTCATATAGGAGAATAAATATTAGGAGAATAGTATTAAACATTTAAATCAGATAATTCACACAAAAATTATCAGAAATATATGATGTATGAGAGTAACGGCTTCTTTTGTATTTCTGTAATTTTTGGTCTTTAAAATAGTATCCTTTCTAATCAATTTCTTATCTAATTTTTTTAATTATTTCAGATTACTTCCAGTCAAAGAGAACTTCCTTTGCCGTCAAGTCTTCAAGGTATGTACAAATATATCCTTTTTACCCCATTCAATTTCCTAGAATATAAAAACTATCCTTGATAAATGCATTTGACAATGAAAACAAAACTAAATAATTTTTGCATTTGGATTTTAGTATAACAAAAAATAAACAAAAAAACTTGCACTTTAAATAGATGCTAATTTCTAACAATAATAATGAAAATAAATAAAATTCTATTAAATTATTTTTCTTTTTATATTTTTGTTATGTTAAACAAATATTTATTTTTAGTTTTTATTTTTATTTCCAATGTTTTATTTTTTAAGCATAAATACCCCATATTTTTAGCAAAAACGCAAAACTAGAAACATTTAGAGGAGTAGTAAGGCTACCACAAATTTACTAAGAGGATTGTATTGCATACATTTAGGATGCATACAAATAGTATATTACGAAAAGTGTATAATTTTAGGCGAAAAAACGAATGTGTATGCATATTAGATAGTGGTAGATATGCAGCAATAAACCCAGAACCGAATCCCAAAAAATAGAAATTCCAATGAAAATAAAAAGCTTTTTCATAAATTTAAAACGTTTTTATTTATTTTATTATTTAAAATATTCCCATATAAATTTCTTTCTTTGCTAAAAAAAATGTCTTAAACTACTTCTTTTGTTTCCATTTTTAAAATTATTATTATTTTTTGCTTCTAAAATATTTTTATAGTTATGGTAGGATTTTTTTCTTTTGCGTCAAAATATTCAACAAGAATATGAGATACAATTTTAATTTATTCATTATTCTGTCACCGAGACAGAAGAAAAAATTTTCAGCCAAATAAAAGTGTCATTCGCCTAACAAATAATAATCTGGGTAAACAAAATATCAATTGTTTATATTTTTATTTGTTTATATTATTAACAAAGCCTAGGGCATTAAAAAGGAACACCCTCGAAGATTAAATAGAAGACATTTATTTAAGTTATGAAAGCCCATTTTCTGCAGAATATAATAAAAAAATCTCATAAATAATTTGATACTGTATTTTTGGTTTGGAAAGCAACCAAAACAAAACAATATCAGAAAAGAGTTCAGGGGCATTTGTAAAGGTTAAAATGCATGTCATGTGGTTTCCACACACACACACACAATACAATTCATTCATTTATTCTAGAAGCCAAACAGATGAAGAGCCTGACTGGAAGTAGTAGGTGTACTATGTACGTACTTGTGTGTACCTTCATTTCAAGGTCAACAAGAATATTTTTACGCAGCCATAAAACAATTTTCTTTGTTTACTCTCCGGTTATTTTTGTATGGAAAAAACAGTTGTAATTAATGACTGCAAATATAATAGAGACATTACAAAAACACACACACACACACATAAACTAAGCAAAACAAAGAAAAGGATTCAAAAGGATATTTGTTTTTTTCGGTAGAATAAACAAATAAATTTTACTTTAGTAGTTCAGTATATTTTTTTGTTTTCGACAAACAAACAGTATTTCATATTAAAGTTATGTTTTAATTTTTTATGGCACCTAAAAGTATGCTCTGTAGTTTCGAGAAATATCTGTATTTAACAGCTGTTTCTGTGTTTTATAACGGTGTGTTTGTTTTGACCAGCAATGAATATGAATTTCAATGGTCATTTGTAGCAAGAATGATAAGGATTGCACATTTTGTGTGTGGAGAAAATAAGTACACATGAATAGGCCATGTGTTATTATTTTTAGATTAAATATTATAAAGCATACTTTTCGACTTTACACAGATTTGAAATACTATTATAGGCTTGACTTTAAGTGTGAGGCTTTGTCATTAGATATGATTCTTTTTCTGGGGATTAGAAAGGCACAGTGGGTTACAATGAATATTTTTAGAGACCGCTGATTTAAAAAAGAGTAATTTATATAATATAACTGAAAATCTCTGTATAATTTTATTTAATTATTTTTTTATTAAGAAGGGCTATCGAAATATATAAGACAAGAACAGGTATTAGACTAGAAGGGAATTCACAGGTCTTCGAAGAGTTAATCGATTTCTTGGAGATTCTCAACTTTCAATGGCGATACCTGGTAGTATTCTGTGTCATGATTTCGATTAGAATGCTCACTGATTGTATCAGAACAAATATACCAATTTTTTTAGAACCAATCTAAGATAATATCTGTGATGTATTTAGAAAATACCTATCGGTATCATAATATGGGGGACTTGTTGATACCTCAATTGACCTAAAATTCTTCTTTATTTTTATTAAAATACGTTCTGATCACTCTGGGGAAGTTGTATCGATATTCCATGAGAAGAAATACAGTTTTTTTTTTAACCAAGACTTACCAGTCTTTTAAAAAAGACTCCTATATAACATAGGAGGAAACCAACAGAACTTCTAAGAAAGGGTCTATTGTTTTCAGTCCTTTCAGGAAGAGATCTACTAGACTTCTAGTGATACTATCTCCTAGGGGAAAACTTATTGCCTCCTGCAAGAAGTTTTCCTTGTATTCTAGGAAATTGCTTACAGATATTCTAGGAACTAACATTTTGATATTGTCTGGAAGATTTTAGGGAAGTCTAGCTAAACTTTTGAATGGATCTTCACTGAATTTATAAGAAAAAATTACTAATCTTTCACGAAAAAAATATAACTTTTAGAGAATACCTTGTGTTCTCCTAGGGGAAGACATACTGGGGTTTTACTGGAAATTTTTCAAATCTTCAATGGGAAAATACTGGTAACCTAGCCTTCTTCTAGAAGGGATCTATACATTTTTATGTTGAAGATCTAATGATCTTCTACCCAAGAGTTTCATAATATTTTAAGAGTAGGCCTGCTAATGTAGTATGAGAAGACTATTAGACCTATTAATTATGCCCTGCAGCTAAAATATCTAAAATACTGTTGAAGACTTCTGATTCTCTAATAAAATATATTCTGGGTTTCTAGAAGTCGAGAGGACCATGAATATGTCCTAATGGTATTTCATTAAGAACTATCGATATTCTTGTATTCCAGAAGGATTTCTAGGATATCGGTTTCTAAATCAGGGCCTACTGTCATGGAAGACTAGAAACAGGATCTGGTCATTTGGACTATACAAATAAAAATGGCTTTTTAGGTCTACTGATCATTTAAGGCTAAGTCCTCTAGGAGATATTTTTCGGTTTTCTATAACAAGATTCACTGTCTTCTATTTGATGATTATTGATATTTTAGGGACTTTCAGGGTAAGATTTTCCAATCGAATGAATTTTTCAGGAACATGCCTACTTTTTTAAGAAGAATATCTATAAATGAAACGATTTTCTGGTCAGTGCTGAAAATTCAAGAAAGTTTTTTATCTTTACAGTCCTTTGTCTGTAAAATAACAGTCCTTTGTCTGTAAAATAACAGTCCTTTGTCCTAATACCTTGTATTCGAACAAATAATCAAGAAAAATCTTTTCAGTGTGTCCCTGACTGATTTTGGCCATAACGAAATTTTCTCAATTCTCAACTCTAACATCTACTATCCCCCACTGTGCTTTAGGTTTTTGATAATTTGTGATAGTTTTGTTTTTGGTTCCGGCATTAAATTTCATATCACTAACGGACACTGAGAAAATGGCATACATATGTACGTACAAAACCACTCATACATACAACCGGACATACACAAGCACACTCTCTCTCTCACATGTATGCAGTCCAATTAACCTCAAACCGAAAACAAAGCACAAAAAAACTTAAACAAAAAGGAAAACGGATACCCAGGACAATGGTTGGGTAATAATTTTTCGGGTAAATGTATGGTTTCAATTTGCTTTTAGATCTCTTTGTTAGTGTTGGTTGGTTGAAAAGACCCGGTGGTTTCCGATGCTTTCTATTATTTAACAACGTCTATTGTAGCTCGGCAATGTATATGAGCACACATTCATGCATTCATATATGAAAATGTCCAATGTTGACTTGTGTTAGTGTGGAATACTTGCAAATTTATAAGGCCAATTGGTTTCCGTAGATATATTTAGTAGGCCTCCTACGGCTATTATTATATGTTGACACAGTTGTTCCAAGCTGGATATCATTCATATCAGTGGGCCATTTGCTTTGTGAGTCGCTATGTGTGTGTGTTTTTGTAATTAGTATCTTTGGCAAAAGTCAAAAGGAATCAAAGTTGGTAGAACTTTTAAGTCAGGACAGCTAACAAAAAGTGTGCAAAAATTTTTTCAAATAGAATAAGGACATTAAAAAATAGTAAATTTTAGATTAATGCTTCTTAGCTTTTATTATTTCTTTTGAATTTTGTAAAAATAAAATAATTGGTTTATTTTATGAGGTATAAATTATTTTTTGTAATTAACAAAATTGTAAAAAACATGTCACTAAGGAAATACTAAATAAAAATTACAATTTTATAATTTAAAATCTTTTTTCTTCTTTCCTTTCATTTCCCCCTTTTTCACTATCACCATTTCTTGGCATTTGATAAAACTCACCATTACCACTAACACCATCACATATCAATGATTTCTATGCAATGAAAATATCATTATAATTTCCCTCTTAATTTCAAATCTAAAATCCAATAAAAATTAAACAAATCTAAATATTTTTTTAATGCTCTTCTGTGCACGTCCTTTTTATATATTGAATAAAATAAAAAAACTGAAATTTTCAATATCCTACCCTGCATAAATTACCTTCAATTAACTTATAATGATAATGACTCGTTTTTGCATCATTTAAATAATTACCCAAAATAACGTACGTCCCTCTGCCTCTCAATATGCCATTCATCCATCCATCCATTCGTTCGTTCGTTCATGCACTCATTCATCATTAATTCCAATTAAATGAAATCAATTAATTAATTACGCATCCATTCAACATTAATGATATACATATTTTTCAAATATAAACACATATATGTACGTATGTATACTGCACCAAACATCAACAACAACAATAAAATAATAATTAAATTAAATTACAACAATAACCTACAACCACCACCACATGCTGAAAAAAATATTTAAATAAAAAA